CTGCAGAGCTATTAAAACCTGGCTTTTCCGGCAGGCCTGGGGCTGTTGACCTCTTGACTGAGGTTCAGTCCCCCCCCCTCTGGTTGGGTGTATGTTGTGCTTCTTCTTAACGTTGTTGTGTCCTATTGTTTTTAAATTCTTTTTTAATATTTTCATTGCTGTAAGCCGCCCGGAGTCCTTCGGGATTGGGCGGCCTAGAAATTCAATAAATGAAATATATGCACACAAGCTGCTCATCCAGGGGTGGGCTGCTACGGGTTCACCCGGGTTTGGGAGAACCCATAGCTAACCTCATGGCTGGTTTGGAGAACCTCCAAATCCCACCCCTGGCTGGCCCCTCGCCTCCCCCCTCTCCTCCCAGGAGTCTCCACGTGGCCCGTTTTGGATGCAAGGTAAGTGTAGAGCCCGCGTGGAGACTCAGGGAGGGGAAAGAATGGGACCGTTTCCGGCCTCCGGAGGGGTTTTGGGCAGTGGTGAAATCTAAATGTTTTGCTATCAGTTCGGTGGCCGTGGCTTGGTGAGGGGGGGTGTCATGTGACTGGGTGGGTGTGCCCAACTTTCTCCCACTTTTTAAAGCATTTTTTTTCCTGCCAGTTCAGGTAAATAGGTAGGGAAAAATGCTTTAAAAATGAAAAAAATGGTTCCAACGATCGTGCAGATCAGCTGTGAGCCACGCGATTGTCAGACTGTCTTTATTTCACTTTTTAAAGCATTTTTTCCCTACCTATTTGACCGAATCGGCAGGAAAAAAATGCTTTAAAAAGTGAAAAAAAGAGGTTCTGACGATCACGCGGCACAACTGAGTGTCACAGAACCTTTCCCCTCCACTTTTAAAAGCTTTTTTTTACTACTGGTTCGGGAGAACCTTAGCAATTTTTGCTACCGGTTCTAGCGAACCGGTCAGAACCAGTAGCATTTCACCTCTGCTTCCGGAGCCTGGGGGAAGCAGTTTTTGCCCTCCCAGAGGCTTGAGGAAAGCCTCCGGAGCCTGGGGAAAGCAAAAATGCCCTCTCCCCCGCCCTGATGTAAGAAGCTGACTAGGCCACACCCACCATGGCCACGCCCACCCAGCAACTGGGCAGAGAACCAGTTGCTGAAATCTTTGAAGCCCATCCCTGTGTTCATTCATAAGCTTTCCACATTATGAAACAAGTTATATCCATCCTTAAATATAAAGAAATAAAGAAGATTCGAATACGACTATACTTTAATCCATATTTACACCAAGGGTGTTATAATTTAAAATGTGTATTTTAATGATATAATTCTATATTCCGAAAGACCAGTGCATTTCACAACCAGGAAAGTTTCTGTAATTTTCAGATTGTATGTAGAGTTTGTAAAAATAAAACCCAAGTTATAATAATAGTCTCTTTTTCTCCTGTAGCTAGAGAATGAGGAAAACATATTCTAGTCATTTTTTTGTAAAAAAAAATTGCTTGCAATTCAAATTGCTGATTTTTTTTGAAACCAGCTTTTAAAAATCTAGCATTGTTGATGTTACCTAGTTTGGGTAATGAAATGTCTGCAAGAAAACAACCAAGCTCAGAGAGCATTAAGGACTCCTTGGCATTTGTTCGAAGGTAGCCTGTACGAAAGGGATAGCTTTCTTTCTGGGGATTATTATTGTGACAGAAATGAATGGAGCCTGTAAATAAATATTTACAGCATGCTTTCAGTTAGGGGGGGTCTACACTTTCCAGATTTTTTTTTTTTTGTTCTGCATTATTTTCCTGGATTGGGATAGTGGGATAGTTGCTTAGCCTTCTCCCAGCTACATTAAGATTTTTTATTTTATTTTAGTCATGGCATCGATTTCAATGAGCAGTTTCCATTCTTCTTCCTGGGTCATTTTATAGTGATTTTCCAGGATAAAGGTTTTATCTAGCTAATGAAGTTGCTTATTTTTTCTGTTTCTCTTCCTTCTTGATGATTATATCCCTTTGGCTTTCAGTTTTCTCCCACTTTAATTTATCCATAATATGTGCCATTGAATCATATTTTATTTGGAAATAGAGAGGATAAATGTTTGTAAAGCCCATATTTCTTATGCATGGATGACATAATTTTGACTACATTTCTACTAGACTTCATTTCATTCATTTCATTTCCTTTATTTGTATGCCGCCCTTTTCCCTGGGGGAACTCAGGGCGGCTCACAATTCAAAAAGGGAGGGGG